GCGGGACTCGATCCTGGGACTCCAGGATCATGACCTGAGCCGAAGGCAGTCGCTTAACCAACTGAGCGACCCAGGCGCCCCGTAGTTGTCTTTTTAACTAATTTTTGATAAATTGTTGGTATTTTGAAGCTAAAAGTTCGTGTCAGCTCAATGAAAATTTTTATAAAAAACAAGCATGGCTAAAAAAAATATTTAGAACCATAAATGATTACATATTATCGTGAGTGCAAAGTAAACATTATGAAATGTAATCCTAAAAGTCCATTTTCGGATTTCTTTGGTCTGTGATTCGTTTTTCCTTTGGAGTGTTGTAGATTTTGCTGGATTGGGAATAACATATTTTGGGGCAGCAGAGACTTCTCTAAAGGCCACTTTGAAGATTTTCCCTCCTGACTATGATTGTTCACATCTTACAGTACGGATTTGAGCTTGGCTCAATGCTGACATTTCCTCCCATCATTTTTATTGGGCGGAAGTGGCCTCTGGCAATAAATTATATTCCAAGACTGCCTGATTCTTTTCAGAATCCTGAATTTACTCAGCCACACCTTCTCTTTGTCTTTCAGAATATGACCTGGTGTCTCCCTATGAGGTTGACCACAATGGAGACTATGTGTCCCACGAAATCACACACCCTCAAAGGAGGAAGAGGGCGCTGGCCCAGCTCGGGGTGGAGTCTCTCCACCTTCGGCTGAAGGGCTTCAGGCACGACTTCCACATGGAGCTGAAAGCTTCCAGCAACCTGGTGGCCCCCGGATTTATCGTGCAGACACTGGGGAAAGGAGGTACTAAGTCCGTGCACACCTTCCCGCCTGAGGATTTCTGTTTCTATCAAGGCTCCTTACGATCCCACAAAAATTCCTCGGTGGCTCTCTCAACATGCAAAGGTTTGGTGAGTACAGCTTGGGTGTGAGTGGTGTGTGATAGGGGACAGGGTGCTGTTTCCCTTGAGAGATTGTAGCTGGTTCTGCTATTATGGCAGGACACATTTCTTTGGTCTGTAAAAGCAGGAGGAAATCGCCAAGTAATACTCTCTAGAATATGTCGTTCTTTGGCACACTTGGCAATAGAAGCACATGCCCAGACTTCTGTCGTTTTACAAGAACCAGGGAAGAGCGCACCAGTGTGAAAATCGTACTTCAAGCTCATGGCCAGGTCTGACATAGAGAACTTCCCAGGGGCCGCTTCCACCGTAACTCACTGGTCCGTGCAGCGCCGCAGAAATGTCTTCATTCCGAATAGAACAGCAGTACGAAACTGATGGGCCGGGTGGATTATTTGATCCGAAGCTGGGAAGCACTTTACCTCTGCCATTCTGTTGAGGATCACATGCTTACAGAATAGGGCCTTCGTTCCAAATGCGGTGATGAAGCCATGGCCCGGCGGCAGTCCAAGTCTTCCTGGACCGATGATTCTGTGGTACATTCCCCATTTTCTTAGTATCTGACGTAGACACTGAACATCACTTGAATGCTTCCGGTGGTCCCCTTTGCTGGGACCTTACAATGAGGATCGTCTGGCCCCACTGAGAAGATACCTGCATCCCTCGGGCTGCCCCAAGCCGAAATCTCAATGCCTTGTCTTTTAATTTTCTTAAAATACTTCCATATTTTTAGGGAAGAAAAGCTTAGCGGATACTTCGAGTCTTGAGTACATTAATCATTCGGACACAGATGAGCGAGACAGGACTTAGGTAGCTGAGCAAAAATGTGTGGCCAAAATGTTTTAAGGTCTTGACCATAGTAAAGGTTTGGCAAACAGGTTTTTTTTTTTTTTAAAGATTTTATTTGCTTATTTGACAGAGCACAAGTAGACAGAGCAGCAGGCAGAGGGAGAGGGAAAAACAGGCTCCCTGTGGAGCAGGGAGTCTGACTCGGGGCTCGATCCCAGGACTCTGGGATCATGACCCGAGCCGAAGGCAGACGCTTAACTGACTGAGCCACCCAGGTGCCCCTTGGCAAACAGGTCTTTATATATTTATTATATTTCTAGAAAATGCTTTAAGTCTGTCTTAAATTTTTTTCTCTCTTGGAAAGAGGGAATTCAGACTCTGCATCTTATAAGGATTTTGTGCAAGTGTGTGTGGATACTGGATGGTGAAGCGGCATTTGTAACCAGTCCCTTCAAATACTACATATGTGCAAATGCTAAATCCCATTAAAATTTTTCAAAAAATATTAATGTCTGCTTTGCGTTTGGAATGGCTTGATTCCATGTCTACTCTAATTTGTAAAGGGCTTTTGATTGGAGAATGGCTACAATAGGGATTTCCCAAAGATAAGGTGGTGGTTATTTCGCATAATTTTTAGGATTGAAGACAGTGTGGCTGATTTCTTCCGTGTTCTCCCAAGAAGAACAGATCTTCCTTAATGAAAGGGCTAGAACTCTTCATAGAATTCACTAAAGGAAGAGATCTCTTCTTTGGCTTTCCTTCACAAAGGCTCAGACCGGAAATGGAAGCCATCTGTGTGGTAGGGAGGTATGCCATGATTTCAGAGCTAGTAGCCTTGGATTTGTTTGTGGAGATTGGGCGAGGTGCTTCCCATTAACCCAGCAGGGGTGCAGGTTTATTGATGCCCTGGGTCTCTGTGAGCCCAGGCTCTCCCGATGGCTGAGCCCTGCTCTGGAGTCGGTCCCAGGAGCAGAACTGGCTGGCAGCAGCTTGAGATTTCTGGTTCTCTTTGATCTCCATGGGAGTTAGCGGCACACTTGTAAGTGACAACTACGTGTGAGATAAAGAAGTGAAAGAGAGCAGAAAAAAGACTCCTGTGAGTAATGAACCCTGGAATTTAATATTCTGGTCACTGGAATAGAAATCTGTATGCTTTCCCCATTAATCTTGCAAATACATTAAATCCAACTTCACTGATTATTTTGTCTGTAGGTGATCATGACAGAAATGACCTCAACCAGACTTATGAGTGTGGGGTTCAGGGGCATTTGCCATATGATAGAACAAATCAGAAGCATTTTAAAGAAGAAAAAGGGAGGATAAGAAGTCATCTTTCATTAGCCAGATAATAAAAAATACTGAATGGGATCATCCCTCAAGTGGCTGCCAAGTCTTTTATTTCTTTACTGATTGATATCTATCCCATTGCTCATCTTTCAAATCTCTTCAAGTATGATGAAAAATGGCATGTTTTTATATTAGAGGACAGCTCCTTTTTTGTTCTTTTTATTCTTGTTTTTTTTTTTTAATCTAATTAAAGTCCTAGGTTGATCTCAGTTAAGCTTTTGTTTTCCCCCCTCGGTGTTTCTGGTTGACCCAGCTATTCGCTGGCCATCAGGTGTCAGTAGAATTCTTTTTGGTTTGACCTGTTGTCCCTCATACACCTCAAGGAGAGAGCATTTGGAAAACAAAATCCCTGGTAGGGGAGAAAAAAAAAAAAATATATTCTGTTCTTCTGGTTTTACCTACAGTATGGGACTATCACCTGTAAGCTAAAATATATTGCTTAACTAAGAGTTTAATGACTTCAGGTAGAGGACATGCTTGACAATTGTGAGATGATGCAGTTTCCAACCTGATAGATAGTTTTCTCACCTGGTTCCCAGCTTTTGTATTTGGGAGCACTTTGCCGTCATTCTCTAAAAACGGATTTGAGGAACACCATCAAAGTTAAAAGCTGATTGCCTTATTTATAGTAAAGAAATACTCTTAACAAACTAAAATGGGTGTTTTCCTGAGGGTCTCGTGAATAATAAATGCACTTCAGATCTGTGTTGTGTGATGAGAGAGGCAGGGAATGGGCAGTGTCGCTTCAGTGATGAAATAGGACACGTCTGGGTGCCAGGAGGAGCAGAGAGGGTGTGTCACCTTGCCTTGCTGGGAGGTGGTAGCATCCGCATGTGGTTTTGGGGTAGTTTTGTCCAACCTGAATCCTTACAGTAGAAGCGGGGTGTGATGCCTGGTGGAGAAATAGGCTGCCCCAGGAAGGACTGATAATATCTGTCAAGGTCATGGAACTCTCCACTGCACCATCTGTAAACCCTAGGAAGACCTCTAAAGTCCTCCTAATATTGCCACCAAGAACCTTGACTCAAAATATTCCGTATTTCACTAAATAAGGTTATTTAAAAAAAAAAAAAAAAGGCGGTGTGTATAGTTCTTAAGTCTCTACCTACTTGACATCACAGGTCTGTTGTGATCACCAAGCTTAGGCATGTGAAGGCCTGTCACACAGCACGTGCCTTTCCTGAGGCACCATGTGGTGACAGTGTGGGAAACAGCGATGGTCAGGACAGTAGCGGAAGGAGCGACCCTGATTTATGGAGGGTTCTGTGCCACATGCTTGGCTATCATTTGTTATGTTGCTTAGCCTAATGGCCACGCTAACAGATAGGTACTATTTTTTTTAAAAGACAACTTTTTTGTTATGTAGTGCATACATCATAGAGATTTCCCCCATTGGAAATGTATAATTCAGTGGTTTGTAGTGTATTTCCAGAGTTGTACAAGGCTCACCACACCTAATCTGAGACTGCATCACCCCAGAAAGAAAGCCCTGGCAGTCCCCATTCCCCAAGCCCCATCAGTCCTAAACCCCACTAATTTAACTTTCTGTCTCTGTAGATTTGCCTAATCTGGTAATTTCTCATAAAGGGAAGCATACAACTTGCGGTCTTTTGTGACTGGCTTCTTTCACTTGGTGTAATGTGTTCATGTTTCATTCACATTGTAACGTGTATCAAAACGTCATTATTTTTATTGCTAAACATACAACATTTTTTATCTATCCTTTCAGCGGTTGATGGATCTCACTGCCTGTGCTCTTTTTGGCTGTGACTATCACTGCTGTTTGTGTACAAGTTCTTGTGCAGACATATGTTCCGTTTCTCTTGTGTTTATACCTAGGAGTGTAATTGCTGGGTCCTATGGAAATTCTATGTTTACCATTTTGAGGACTTTCCAGACTGCGTTCCACATTAGCGTTCCCATTTTGTATCCTCCTAGCAATGCATGAGGATTCTGATTTCTCCTCATTCTGGCCAGCACTTATCCACCTTCTTATTATAGCTGTCCTGGTGAGGATGAAGTGCTGTCTCATTGGGGCTTGGAGTGGCTGGATAGAGATCATTGGATGGTGGTTTGGTTGTTTTTATTCTTGTTATTGTTTAGTTAGTGGTTTTTACTTCCAGCACTTTGACGATGTCATCCTACTGCCTCTTCAGCCCTATTGTTTCGCTGGAGAAGTCTGCTGTTTATCTCATTGCAGTTTTATTGTGCATAGGAGTTGGGTTTTTTTTTATGGTTGTTTCAAGATTTTCTTTTTGTCTTTGTCTTTCTACATTTTTACTGTGATGTGTATGGGTGTGGGTATCTTTGTGTTCACCCTGTGGTACTCTCATTATGCATATATTGGTGTGCTTAATGCCTTACTACATTTCTCGGAGGCTCCACTCATTTTCCTTCATTTGCTTTTTCCTCTGTGCACTTCAAATTGCAACATTTTTATCAATTTATCTTCAAATCCACTGATTCCCTGCTGGCAGTTCAAATCTATTAAGTTTCTGTAATAAAGTTTTCATTTGGGATATTGTACTTTTTAACTCCAGAATTTCCATTTGGTTATTTTTATAATTTCCCGTATTCTGTATTTCATAAGTCATTGTCATTAGGCCTTGCTTTAATTCTTTAGACATCCTTCTCTTTGGTTCCATGAACATATTTGTAATAGTTGCTTTGACATAGTTCTCTACTAAGCCCCACATCTGGGTCCTCTCAGAAGCAGTTTCTGTGCCTGTCTGTTTTCGTGTGTAGGGGTCACACTTTTCTGTCTCTTTGCATGTCTCATAATTTTCTGCTAGAACTTGAGCATCATAGAGAACATATTGTAGCAAATCTATAGATGCTGGCCGCACTCTGCCTCTGCAGGACTTGACCTTATC